AATTTTCACATTTTCCTCTCTAATCTAGGTATATAAGAAAATGTGAAAAATAAGAAAAAGTGCAAAGGACTTGCATGAATTCATCACTACATAAACTTCAACTTCTAGTAAAACATAAGTGCCCAACCAGCCCATTCACATTGATTTATTAGGGCCCATTATTGTAACAACAATGGGTCCAGTCGGCCCATTAAGATTAATCTCAGGCCATTCAGAAGCCCAACTTTGTAAATCTAAGGGCGCAACCTGCCCATTCACATTCAAATCTCAGCCCTAAGATTAATCTAAGCCCAGTTTTTGAAAATATAAAGTCCCAATCGGCCCATTTAGAAGCCCTACTTTGTTCTCTCAGAGCCCAATCGGTTCTCTCAGCCCATTTAGAAGCCCAGTTTTTTTAAGTCATTAGGGCCAATCGGCCCATTTAAAAGCCCTACTTTGTTAATCTCTGGGCCTAATTGGCCCATTCATATTTATCTCAGCCCATTTAAAAGCCCATTTTTCGAAAATCATAAGGCCCTATCGGCCCATTTAGAATCCCAACTTTGTAAATCGTTGGGCGGCCCATTCATATTAATCTCAGCTCATTGCTCAATCGGCCCATTTCACTCCAATTCGAGTAACTAATAAATCATGTAACTAACTTGCCAACTGTATATTTATACATACAACATCGAAGAGTGTATTATCTTCTATAGAATCTAAAGTTTTATCTGATATTACAAGTAACGATAGTATATATATACTATAAACGTAATTACAGACATCAACACAATATTTGCTATAAAAAGTGAATGATGAGACAATTAAATGTTTAGCTGAACCATTACAAAACTAGTAAGCATCTTTGATGGAGGTAATGTACAGTCATTTGTGTTACAAATTACTGTGCCAAGACAAACCCGAAAACATAGCCAGCTAAAGTCAATTCACATTGCTATCTAACTCTTGCAACTTTAGAGCCATCTCAGGGATATATCCAGCCCCTAAGATTCTGGCGAGTGACTGTATAGCTTTAGAGATCAACTCTTTCTTCTGCTTCTCACCCGAAGTGCTTGTGTCGCTTGATCGAGATGCGTTGTCTTCCTCCTTCAATGTCACACACAATCCTCTCAACCACTCGTCTAGAAAAGAGGCTTTCTATAGGGTTTCAACCGACATGAATATTCAAATTAATATTACTTCAAAAATTACGCAAATGAAAATAGTGGAATCAACAACTGTCAGTTTCTTACTTTTAGGAGAAAATCTGTCAACGCATCACAATGACAGCTCGAAACTAGGCTCAAGCGATGCAGCATGGTTGAGGTTAACTGAAACAACAAATCGCACTTTAGATAAATTATTCATCAATAACCTAAAACCAGGCTAACAAGGTTTTCATAGTTTTACCCGATTCTCTAGCGATCTCTTATATTTGAAATTTGTTGGAGTCGTCTCTCTGTCGGAATTCAGACTCTGTAAAGTATGTTCCACACCTTTTACAACATCAAGGAATGATCTCCCATAAGCTGCAATTACATTACATGCAAGGGAGGGTATAATTAGCCAAATAGTACAACCCCAAATCCCATATAATATGAGACAAAAAGTGACCTGTCCAAATTAACATAGCTACAGGGGAGGGGAGAAAGAGAGACAGTATCAACCTCACCAAGTGGGGTTGCTGGAACAGCTAAAGCGGCAGCCGCTTGTATTCTTATTTTTAAGTTTGAAGCATCACGGAGCAGCAATAGTAGAATACTAAAAACACTTGGAGCCCTTCAAAAGTAAAAGGACTTTGTGAAGGTAACCGAGAGAAGTACCTTCAGTAACAGAAAGCTAAAGATGCATACCAATCCATATCTTGCAGTTTTACTGTCTCATTGGAGAACAAATTGCTTAACGCGTGACACACATTCCATTGAACCTGTACAAATTTCTTAAGTCAAAAAAATATGGTAGATAAAGCAAGGGATGCGTACAGAAACCGTAGCATTTTGATACAAATCAGATCAAATCGAATACATTTCTCTATAAGAAATCTTTATTAAAAAAAACCACATTAATTAGATTTGAGTTTGATAAGCTTTCTCTCAAACCAAACTAGGGCAACTCGAACCAAAACGGATTGAAACCCAAATGCTCACATCCAGATGAAACCATATCGTTTAATTCTATTTATTAAGGTATACCTTAACATTACCAGTAGTAACACTGGAAATAAATGCTTGCACGGTCCTCTCCAACCAGCTTGAATCTACCACGCAAGATAAATGGTGATGGTGCAAAGGTAAAACCTCGTGGTTACTTGTCTGGTATTGCAATTTTACATATTTTGAGATACTCCCCAGTGCCCGAACTGCATTGGCTTTGACCTGATAATAGAATTCTGGAAATGATGATGGCAGGCAATAATACTAAAACCTACTGTGAGCTTCACACACACAAATATATATATGAAAGCCAATTTCGCCAAAGAGAAACAAAACATTTGGATAACAAGTTACGGAGAAAACAACTAATAATAATTAATATTATAGTAACTTTTGGAATTTAGTAGCATATCACATAGTAGTAAGTAAAAGGAATTATCACGATATCTAGGGAACTATTTTCATTACCTTGTCCCCATCCTCGGTAAGGCGCAAAGCACATTCTATTAGTGTGTCCACAACTTGTGAAGTTGTATTTGATCCTGCTAAGGAGAAGAAAAGAAAAGTAAATCCACAAGTTGTAACAGAGCAATTACAACTTCAGCATTGATACCTTCAAAGGACCTATCACCGATACGGTAACGCAGAGCTTCGCATAAATTGGCCAAAGACCAGGATGCTGTTATACGCACCTGAAATGACAAGCATGGAACCCATTGCAATAGAAAAGGTGAATCTAAAATGCATAAATTATGAGAGAAAAAAAATGATAGTCGGTACTGTAGTACCGAGATCAAGGGATCGCGGGTGTTCGCTTCAACAGCTAAGATAAAATTTTCATACATCCCCGCACTGCATCAACAAAGTTCCTTAACTTCTTGACCGCGAATATCTTGTCAGGGATAATTAGGACAACCAACATATTGTTTCAACAGACAGTGAAAAAGGGTTAAGCTACCTTAAAGAAGTTTCTGGAAAACATGAAATTACACCAATAGCTCGGCAAGCTGCTGATCTGACTAAGGTGTTTGGTCATGCAGTGCAGCGGTTACCTGCAAAAACTAACGGACGTCATGCGTGTCAAGAAGATTTAAAAAACCACAAAAATATAACATTTTCTTTTGTATGTGTTAATACACACATCTTGGAAAGAAAATTTATAAAATCACAAATTTAAATTTTTTTGTGTGTATGTTAATACACACATCTTGGCAAAAAAATAAAAAAACTCAAAAATTAACATTTTTTTGTGTGTATTAATACACATATCTTGACAAGAAAAATAAAATAAAAACTCAAAAATTTAACATTTTCTTGTGTGTGTTAATAGACACATCTTGCAAAAAATTATAAAACTCGAAAATTTAACATTTTTTGTGTCTGTGTTAGTACACATATCTTGACAAGAAAATTAAAAAAACTCAAAAGTTTAACATTTTCTTGTGTGTGTTAGTACACACATGTTGACAAGAAAATTAAAAAACTCGAAAATTTAATATTTTCTTATATGTTAGTACACACATCTTGGCAAGAAAATTAAAAAACTCAAAAATTTAACATTTCTGTGTGTGTGATAGTACACATATATTCACAAGAAAATTAAAAAAAAAAACTCAAAATTTTTACATTTTCTTATATGTGTGTTAATACAAACATCTTAGCAAGAAAATTAAAAAAAACATAAGATTTTCTTGTGTGTGTGTTAATACACACATCACAGCAAGAAAAAATAAAAAACTCGCAAATTGAACATTTTTTTGTTTGTGAATACACATATATTGACAAAAAATTAAATACTCGAAAATTTAACATTTTTCTTGTGTGCTTATTAATACACACATCTTGACTTCAAGAAAATAAAAAAATGAGTCTTGCAAACTTAGGAGGAAAATTCACAGAAAGAAACACGAAAATTTAACATTTTCTTGTGTGTGTGTTAATACACACATCTTGGCAAGAAAATAAAACAACTAGAAAATTTAGTATTTTTTTGTATGTGTGTTAATACACATATCTTGACAAGAAGATTAAAAAAAACTCGAAAATATAACATTTTTTGTGTGTGTTAATACACATATCTTGACAAAAAATTTAAAAACTCAGAAATTGAACATTTTCTTGTGTGTGTGTTAATACAAACATCTTGACTTCAAGAAAATAAAAAAATGAGTCTTGCAAACTTAGGAGGAAAATTCACAGAAAGAAACACGAAAATTTAACAGTTTCTTGTGTGTGTGTTAATACACACATCTTGGCAATAAAATAGAACAACTAGAAAATTTAGTATTTTTTTGTATGTGTGTTAAAACTCACATCTTGTCAAGAAAAAATAAAAAATAAGCAAATTTAACATTTTTTGTGTGTGTTAATACACATATCATGACAAAAAATTTAAAAACTCAGAAATTGAACATTTTTTTTGTGTGTGTTAATACAAACATCTTGACAAGAAAATTAATTTTTTTTTCAAAAGTATAACATTTTTTTGTGTGTGTTAATACACACATCTTGGCAAGAAAAATTAAAAAATATGTAATATTTTTTGTGTGTGTTAATACACATATCTTGACAAGAAAATTATAAAAAAACTTGAAAATTTATCATTTTCTTGTGTGTATGTGTTAATACACACATATTAACAAGAAAACAAAAAAACTCAAAAATTTAACATTTTCTTGTCTGTGTGTTAATATACATTTCTTAACAAGTAAATTAAAAAAAAAACTCAAAAATTTAATATTTTTTGTGTGTTTGTTAATACACACATCTTGACAAGAAAATAAAAAAATTAGTCCTGCAAACTTAAGAAGGAAAAATTCCTAGAAAGAAACTCGAAAATTTAACATTTTTTTTTGTGTGTGTATTAACATACACACATCTTGGCAAGAAAATAAAAAAAACTTCAAAATTTAATATTTTTGTCTGTGTGTTAATACACATATCTTGACAAGAAGATTAAAAAAACCTCGAAAATATAACATTTTCTTGTGTGTGTTAATACACACTTCTTGGCAACAAAATCAAAAAACTTCAAAATTTAATATTTTTGTGTGTGTCTGTTAATACACATATCTTGACAAGAAGATGAAAAAAACCTCAAAAATATAACATTTACTTGTGTTTATTAATGCACACATTTTGGCAAGAAAATTTTAAAATTCACAAATTTAACATTTTGTGTGTGTGTTAATACACACTTCTTGGTAGGAAAATAAAAAAAACTTGAAAATTTAACATTTTTTTGTGTGTGTTAGTACACATATCTTGACAAGAAAATTAAAAAAAAACTCAAAATTTAATATTTTCTTGTGTGTGTTAATACACACATCTTGGCAAGAAAATTAAAAAACTCGAAAATTTAACATTTTGTATGTGTGTGATAGTACTCATATATTCACAAGAAAATTAAAAAAAAAACTCATAAATTTAATATTTTCTTGTGTATGCGTTAATACCCACATTTTAGCAAGAAAACTAAAAAACTCGAAAATTTAACATTTTGTGTGTGTGTGTGTGTGTGTGTGTGTATTAATACACATATCTTGACAAGAAAATTAAAAAAAAACTCAAAAATAAAAGATTTTCTTGTGTGAGTGTTAATAAACACATCACAGCAAGAAAATAAAAAAAACTCGCAAATTTAACATTTTTTGTATTTAACATTTTCTTGTGTGTGTTAAGTACACACATATTGGCAAAAAAATTAAAATACTCGAAAAATTTAGCATTTTTTATGTGTGTGATAGTATACATATTTTCACAAAAAAATTCAAAAAAATTCAAAAATTTAACATTTTCTTGTGTGTTAATACACACATCTTGGCAAGAAAATTAAAAAAAACACTCAAAAATTTAACATTTTCTTTTGTGCGTTAATACATACATCTTAGCAAGAAAATTAAAAAACTTAAAATTTTAACATTTTTGTGTGTGTGTGTTAGTACACATATCTTGACAAGAAAATTAAAAAAACTCAAAAATTTAACATTTTCTTGTGTGTGCTTATACACACATCTTGACAAGAAAATTGAAAAACTCGTAAAGTTAAATTTGTTTTTGTGTGTGTGGTAGTACACATATATTCACGAGAAAATTATAAAAAACTCAAAACTTTAACATTTTCTTGTGTGTGTTAATATACACATCTTGGCAAGAAAATTAAAAACTCGCAAGATGTTAATACTCACATCTTGTCAAGAAAAAATAAAAAATAAGCAAATTTAACATTTTTTGTGTGTGTTAATTACACATATCTTGAAGAAAAATTTAAAAACTCAGAAACTGAACATTTTCTTGTGTGTGTGTTAAAACAAACATCTTGACAAGAAAATTAATTTTTTTTTCAAAAGTATAACATTTTCTTGTGTGTGTTAATACACACATCTTGACAAGAAAAATTAAAAAATATGTAATATTTTGTGTGTGTGTTAATACACATATCTTGACAAGAAAATTATAAAAAAACTCGAAAATTTATCATTTTCTTGTGTGTGTGTTAATACACACATATTAACAAGAAAACAAAAAAACTTAAAAATTTAACATTTTCTTGTCTGAGTGTTAATATACATTTCTTAACAAGTAAATTAAAAAAAAAACTCAAAAATTTAACATTTTCTTGTGTGTTTGTTAATACACACATCTTGACAAGAAAATAAAAAAATTAGTCCTGCAAACTTAAGAAGGAAAAATTCCTAGAAAGAAACTCGAAAATTTAACATTTTTTTTGTGTGTGTATTAACATACACACATCTTGGCAAGAAAATAAAAAAAACTTCAAAATTTAATATTTTTGTGTGTGTTAATACACATATCTTGACAAGAAGATTAAAAAAACCTCGAAAATATAATATTTTCCTGTGTGTGTTAATACATACTTCTTGGCAACAAAATAAAAAAACTCCAAAATTTAATATTTTTTGTGTGTGTTAATACACATATCTTGACCAGAAGATGAAAAAAAACATCAAAAATATAACATTTACTTGTGTGTATTAATGCACACATTTTGGCAAAAAAAATTTAAAATTCGCAAATTTAACATTTTGTGTGTGTGTTAATACACACTTCTTGGTAGGAAAACAAAAAAAACTTGAAAATTTAACATTTTTTGTGTGTGTTAGTACACATATCTTGACAAGAAAATTAAAAAAAAAAACTCAAAATTTAATATTTTCTTGTGTGTGTTAATACACACATCTTGGCAAGAAAATTAAAAAACTCGAAAATTTTAACATTTTGTGTGTGTGTGATAGTACACATATATTCACAAGAAAATTCAAAAAAAATTCATAAATTTAATATTTTCTTGTGTGTGTGTTAATACACACATTTTAGCAAGAAAACTAAAAAACTCAAAAATTTAACATTTTGTGTGTGTGTGTGTGTGTGTATTAATACACATATCTTGACAAGAAAATTAAAAAAAAAACTCAAAAATATAAGATTTTCTTGTGTGAGTGTTAATACACACATCACAGCAAGAAAATAAAAAAACTCGCAAATTTAACATTTTTTGTATTTAACATTTTCTTGTGTGTGTTAAGTACACACATATTGGCAAGAAAATTAAAATACTCGAAAAATTTAGCATTTTTTATGTGTGTGATAGTACACATATTTTCACAAGAAAATTAAAAAAAATTCAATAATTTAACATTTTCTTGTGTGTGTTAATACACACACATTGGCAAAAAAATTAAAAAACTTAAAAATTTAGCATTTTGTGTGTGTGTGATAGAACACATATATTCACAAGAATATTAAAAAAAAACTCAAAAATTTAACATTTTCTTATGTGTATTTGTACACACATCTTGGCAAGAAAATTAAAAAACTCAGAAATTTAACATTTTTGTGTGTGTGATAGTACACATATATTCACAAGAAAATCAAAAGAAAAACTCAAAATTTTTAACATTTTCTTATGTGTGTGTGTTAATACAAACATTTTAGTAAGAAAATTAAAAAACACAAAAATATTAGATTTTTTTGTGTGTGTGTTAATACACACATCACAGCAAGAAAAAAAAACTCTCAAATTGAACATTTTTTTGTTTGT